TCTTAATTTTTCTTATTTTCTTCAATTCTTTATTATTTTCAAATTTCTAAGTTGAATAGAACTTACATCTTTATTCCATTTTTTCTTCGTTCTTCTTTTTAATTTCAGCAAGTTCTAATTTTTTTCTTCTTACTCCTAATACAATTTATCTATTCGAATTCTGTTATTGAATGGAGAATAATTAACTTAAAACTACTAGAAAACAAAACTGTAAAGTTGATTGATAGAATGTATATGACTAATGTACTTGTATACAAAGTCAAAAAAAAAACAATAAAAAAATATTTTGATTTTGAAAAAACATTGATTAAGAATGTAAACAATTTGATACATAAAATAATTAACACATTAATAAATTAATTTCTGGTATATCAAAATATGAAATAATGAACATACTTTTACATTTTCATTGTTAAATGAAATAAAAATCAATACAATAAAACTACAAACATATTAAAACTGTAAAAAAATAACAATTGCGAGTACAAAGTAAAAATGATTTGTTAGATATGCAAAATTTATATCAGCAGACTGACTTTGCAGAGAAAATATTTCAATTATATACATTCTCCTTGTTGACACAAAGCATTTCCTTTGAAACCATGTTAGTTGAATTGTTCTAACAACAAACAATTTCAAATTCCACAAACAAATATTTTCTACCAAAACGCATTTCAACATTCAAGAATTTATTAATTTGATGTAAAAAAACAGAAAAGTAGATATGAAATTTTTTTAATGAAATAATTGGATTTAAACCAAAAACCTGAACATTTACATTTTATTATGCTTTGAAAATAGATAGTACAATGATCACATGAAATCATCATAATCATCATAATCATAAGCTCCATATTGATTCATTATAGCATTATCGCCCTCCATTTTCAATTTAGCTTTTCCTTTTCCCTTAGACTTTTTAGCTTTGTCGCCCTTTTCAGCTTTTTGTTTCTCCATATACATATTATCTATCGTGAGTTTCAATTTCTTAAGATCAAAGGAATTTACTGTAATAAAAAAATATTTGTGAGAAAAAATTATGAAGATATTAAGTTGCAGTACTGATGCAAAGCATTTTTTAAAATATCTTATTTTTGTTGAAAATTGGAAGAAATTTTGGGATATTATATATAACAAGTGCACTTTCGCAACTGTTGAAGTAAACTATAGTAATATATTTTGCTTACAATTCACACAGATGTTTCGAAATAGATCCTCCACGAAAGCAGGAAATTCATCTCTGGATTTATATATAGACACTTTTCTATTAATAGCATCTGCTAGCTCCTCAAAGCCTGCTTTGTCATTAGGATTGATGCTGTCAATACTGGGTGCTACTCCTGAAATTAAATAGTATTGAATTAAATTAAAATATTTTTTCTGATTCAAAAACAGAAAAAAATGTACTTCATTAAATAACTAAGTATTACCTAAAGTTTCAAGAGCTAATCTCAAGTCAGCTTCTTCTTGAAGCTTTTTCCTACGAAGCTCAGCTTCACGTTTTTCCTCAGGAGTCATATTCTCTTCCTCCTCTCGCTGTCTACGTTCAGCTTCCTCCAATCTTAATTTCTAAAAAGTTTATAGTGTAAATCTAAACATTTTCAAACAATTTTTTATACTCACTTCCTTCTCTGCAACACTTTTTGCTAAGGACTTTTTTGGTTTAGTTTTAATAGGTTCATTTTTATTTGAATCATTTTTCTCTACATCCTTTTTTTCTTCTTCTTCATCTTCCCAACTTTCCTAGAAAGCAAATTCATATCGATATATTAAGAACTGTAAACAAATTATAAACATATGATCAAATATCGTATACAAGTTTAGTTGGTTCGATCATTTCACATTTAGTAACTACTGTAGTGATTTATAGGTATTAAACCAATTTAGACAATATTACACCAATTAGTTTCCAAATTGAATACACAAATTAGAACTTTATTAAATGAATACAACATATGTCACAACACTCACAAAAGAAAACTAGTTCACCAAAAAATAAAGAACACAAAATTTGTTTACAAAAGTGCAAGAAATTCCTCAGCTTGTTATGATTAAACAAAAGCTTCTATCAACAAATAACTGATAACAAGTAGCTGATTCACATGTGGACACACTAGAAATTTTATTCATTCGTTTCTAGAAAAATCAAATACAGTGCCAAAAGGAAGTTAAATTCGCAAATGGAATGTTTAAAAATGACGTAACGAAACAGTGAAATTAAAGCTAATAAGAAATTCATATCGTGACGCGACAACATATTCTGACACCTCACCTTCACTTCATCGTCTTCATCTTCACCAGCCCATTTGTTAAGAGGATTGTTTGGAACAATCGACGGAACTTTCGGGGTTACAATATTTTCTGCAATAAAAGCTTAAATGTCAGAAAACGGCACATGGATCACTATCGTATATCAATATAATCTTCATGTAAAACCTCACCCCAATCGTCCTCCATGGTTTAATTATAAATCAATTAATTGCGTATTAGATTAGAAATACTTTCGAACAACCATACCTAAATATTTGTACAATAAACATCATGACCGCACTAGCCACGAAGCGTGTTTCTCAATCATGCACATTGCAATGCGAATCACACGAAACTTGAAACAAAGCAGCCAACACTAAACTGACTATTCTTCTAGAAACTTCATGCCGGTATTGCCTAATCCAACGGATTAACAATTTCAAACCACCAAAACGCGCTAAAACTCAATTTCATTTTTCATTATTATGTAAATGATGTCAAATAAATAACAAAGAACGTCAAATATTATTTTGATATTTTCTTAACGTTTTAAATTTTCTTATCAAAAACAAAAAAGCTTTAGTTTTAACTTCAATTCAATTTAACCAAGTCATGGCTAGCATACGAAGCATCCGATTTGAATAATTCAAAAAACCTTTCGCTTGTATTAACGAAACGATTGTTTTTGAGAAAATAAAAAAAAAATATTATTAACTTTCCGTAGGGTAAGTTATAGTAATCGAAAATAAAAAAAAAAAGAGTGCGCGTAAGGATCACACGCGATTGAAGTAAAACTTTTAATATTGTATGAGTAGGCAATTAAGATAAAAATAAAAAAAACATCATATTTGAATTTTAAAAATCATCTTTTAATAATCATATAACATCAATAATAATAAGATCTCCTGAGCATCGGCACAGCTGTCCTACTGATATTAAGAGTTTGAATATGATGTGAAGCTTTCTTCCTAATTTTGTTACCTATCTTACCGGGAAATTCAAACCATAAACGTAGAAGTTCATCATTATCGCCACGTTCTATGTACACTAATTTTCCCACACAACCATTAGCTAAGCCATCACTTACATCAATATTAGTTGTTATTATGTAAAATTTATTCAGAACTAAAATAATTTCATACGGCAAAGCCCCGGTATCAATAACCGATTTTTTGAAACTGTTGACGAATGTATGATTGTTGATCTGTCGCATGGCAACCTACATAAATATCCGTGGCAGTAGATATTATTTTGTCTTCAACGAGATTCAATATAAATTTATTATATTCCATGGCACATTTATTCTCTAAGAAAAGTCTTATTCCATGAGGACATAATACAGCAACCTCTTCTTTTGTAAAAAAAACGTGATTCAATTAATGCAAGTTCATATAGGGTTTAGCGCTCGACTTACGCATGACATGACGGGAGTGGATACTCGCGACATCAGCGCTTACGGCGTCGTAGTGTTCAACTACACGTTGGCATTTTCGTTGCATTGTACGGATTTACACCGTGTCGCGCCTAAAATTTTTACACCCATATCGCGCCTAAAGAAGTTTTACTTCAAAAATTACATATCTTTACGTTTGAAAGGTTTCTGAACATTTTGGCATATCTTGGAAAAACTGATGTATGTGTATGTGTGTACACACATTTTCGTTTGATTTAAATAATTAAAAAAACATTCGATTCGTATTGTTAAGGATACTTGCTGATTAGTTTTTGGCAAAGGCAGGTCTAACCGTTCCGAAGATACAGGGCAAAAAGTGCCAAAAACGGTAACTCAGTTTTTAAGAGAACGGAGCGTCCGATTTTAATAATTCAAAAAACATTTTACTTGAATTGACAAGATGAAGAACTGGTTTTGATTTTTGGGAAGGCAGGTCTAGCGATTATGGACTCTAACAATGTACAATAAAAATAAGTTAAAAAAATTACGTTTGGCGGTCAAAAATGTTTATTGGACATATGCACATCAAATTATCAGATATTTTATAGAGATTTTAATAATGTGTACACATTTTGTGTAATTTTTTTTGAGTTCCATACCAAGATTTTTAATTACGGTACGGGAAGTTCCAGCAATTTGCCTTAAGGCACGATCAGTCTAGAGGCATAAATTTTATGCGATTTTTGCGAGACTGTAAAAAGGCAAACATTATTTTTATCATATTTTTTATTACGCATAATTAACGTTTTGAGAATATATAACAAAAAAAATTAAAAATAGACAAAATTTTGATTCTAGAAGAGAATGAAGTTGGGTATCTCAAAAAATTGGCACCTGACCATAGCCATGATTATGATTATAGCCTTCAAAATAATCTGTAGAAAAAATTGTAAATATGTATATTATTCATGGATAAATAAAGAGTATATTATTAAACCAAAATCAGGTCGCTATCATACAAACTATGAACAGGTCATAAAAAAAATACACAAAATGGCGACTCTGAAAAAAAAATTCACAACTTTTTTTTAGTTTTCTAGAATTCTTCAAAAATACTGATAATCAGTATTTGCGTTATGTTACAAACAAATGTAACAATCATAATACTTTAATGACCCATGTGTTCATTGTAAAATCACTGTTTATGAATGAATAATGATACTTAAAGAAAAAACATAATATATAAAGCAGATAGACAGGGTATATTTCACTACCCTGATATTTTATATATTTATTATGTAATAATATACAGAGCTTAACAAAAAAAAATATTCCATAGATTGGATGTTACACCTTCAGTCTTAAAATATACAAAAATCTAGTATAAACAAAATAATTTATTAGTTATGATGAGCAATGTAATCAGCTCTTATTATTTAATTCAGTTATATATTTATTCCATTGTTATCTACATCATTACTCTGAGAATTTAGGCAAATCCAAAACCTTCAGAACATTCGTGTACTGCTTTTAGTAGATAGGATCGCAGCTTATCATATGTTTCATATACAGGCAAATCTAGTTGATTAAAGCTGGAACAAACATAAATCGATATAACTCTATCTATAATTTCAATAACTCTATCCTGATCCATTAAAGTAACTTACCATGTATGTGCAGAAGGTAACCTGTCAGTTGAACGATCATCTCTATGGATTTGGAATTTCTGCACACCGTTCATGCCTTCTAAAGCAGCAAAACCTTGTAACGGAACTTTAGAAGTGCCAGTTACAAACTGCAAAAACTTGGCTCTATCAGCCTGATCAAAAGAGCGCAGAGATCTCCAGAACCACTGAATCTGTGTACAAATATAAATATCAGAGGTACAAATATATTATACAATATGATTTTGTTTTTTAATTACCTGTATCGATGTTGTCTGGTATTTATGATATTCTGTGTTTGCCTTCAAGTCCTCAATATCAACATTTGGTAAACCGGATATCAGTAGCTCTAGTTCTTGCTCATTGAAAATAGATATCAACCGTTTAGGAATGATGTCGTAGAACCCTTCTAAGAAGGCATTTAATCTGCACAAAAAAAAAAATGATTTATGTATTTAATACATAAATGTTATCAAATATTCAAATACTCACTGTTGCCTTATAGCACCGCACATTTTCATTTGACACACCCTTCTAATATACTCATGTTTATTTTGCTCGGTGACAGGTATATTTCTGCCATTAGGAATTAAATCTCTTATATCAGTAACACCGAATTCTTGAACTTCAGCACTGAATGTTAGATCATAACCCAAGTCAGAAACATTATGTTCAGTTAAATATACCAAGCCTTGGTAAAAACTGTAGTCCTCGCTTTCCATATCAGTATGCTTCACTTGTATGCCAAGAATATGCTTATAGAATGACCTCGTGAAGTAACATTCAAGTAATTTGTTATCATAAATTGCCTTGGCTGCAAAATAATAATTGTAAATAATTATTTATATTTCATAGATATCCATATCAAAGTTAAACCTATAGCCATACCTATAACTCTTCCTACAAACTTATAGTAACACAAGTGATTGGGATTACAATGACTTGATGAATTAATCATGTAAGTCACCCTGTCTCCTGGTGATACAGTGAACAATGCGTACATTGGGTTGAAAATATCCCTGGAAATTATGACATACCATTCTCTTAGTAAGCCACCTGCATCTTGCCCCTCTTCATCTGTTGAGATCATAAATATTAATGATATTGAAAGTTATCAAACATTAAAAGTTATCAATTAGTAATATGTTTCTGGCTTGCATACCTTCAAAGACAATATAGAATCTATTTTTCCATTCCTCAGAGTTTCTCCTATACAATTCCCTGAACGAATCCTCAAATATATGACTTCTGCGCACATGCACAGCTAGTTCCTCGCGTCGAACACCTTCATCTAACCTCTCTAATTCTGTCCTGAAGTATCGTCTTTTAACATCAAAGTCCAATACTCGCGTGTGATCCACTAATACTGAGAATGGACCGTCAGCCAAGTGAGTAGTTGTTTGACGCAGAATTTGATTTAAAACTGTCCTGTGAGTTTCTGTAAATTATAGATAAAAATAAATTTGATCAATTGAACATTGTAAATTTAGCAAATATTTAACAATTTTTATATTCTACAAGAATGTGTAATAATTGTTAAGATAAAAATAACAAACTAATTGAACCCTTTACGATTCAAAAACAATCTATGAGCAAATCGGCGCCGCCGAATATGGAACAATTATATTTGCTTTTCTACATTTTCACGTCCACTGTACTTACGAATATCATAAAAAAACTACCAACCATACCAAAAGGGTTAAAGACAAAATAAATCTCATGCACAAATCTACCTGCAAAAGCCAAAAACTTCTTTTGATCAGTGTGTAAACTGCTGACAGATGGTTTGTTTTCAGTTCGTTGCACGACAGTGTTATTTGCGCCTTCTGTTCCATGAGATGCGCCATCCAAAGGTGATAAAGGTGCTACATCATTATTGTCTATAGGAGGAGAAGGAGAAACAGAGCCACTGATTCGGTTACTAGAAGCATTATTACTTCCACCCTCTTGAACTTCTCTAGAACTGACATTATTAGAGATTGGTTGCTCCTGAATATGAGGATTTCTCTTATTTCGTGAAGCTGAATGAACAAGGAAAAAGGCTTCCACAGCTGGTTGTAATACTAAGACTGCATGATGATCAGGAGTTTCCTCCAATTCAAACAGGCACTGACTAAGAGTGTTCCAAAGACTATCCAAATTCAAAGCTTCACTCAACAAAGTGAAAGTAGGAGTGTATATGTTATTTTTATTTGACATAGCATCAGCACTAGTATCCATTGCATTTGTTGCTTCACTGTTAGGATTATTTTGCGGTTCACCAGAAGCTCCATCTTCAATATCAGCAGTAGCCATCGAGACATTTTCTTCTACTTCTGGCCTCTCAAATTCTATATAACGAAAAAAAAAATCAAGTTAATAAACCAATAAAAAGTCAAACCATTTAAAAATTCTCTAGAACACTTACCCAATTTAGAATCTTCAACTTCCTTAATTTGAACAATAACCTTTAGAATTCGTAAGAAGAAGGCTTGACTTGATGTCTTTGATATAAGCGGTGCCATTGAAGGAAGTTGTAAATCACAAGTTGCTTTGGTTTTTGATGAAGCTGCAACAATGACTGCATCATTTGTAAATCTATCTTTCAAAATTCCTTTAGATGCCTTTAAGTTGTCGCCCACGTTCTCATCTTTATTTATATCTTTCTTAACATTATTCATAGTCTTCAGCTCCTTTACTAAATTACTAATATGAGTTTGCACCATCACAGATAAATCAATTGCTCCTTTAAGCAATAAGCGTAATATCTAAAAATAAAATTGAAGTAATAAAATAATTAAATTTCACAATGCAGAACATTGTACTAAATTTTGTTCAAGTTATGTGAGGAATAAAAAATGTTTATACAAAAACCAAACTGGCATCATGTGGAATTGAGATAATAGACACAATCAGTGTTCATCAATTTGACATGACATCATGTATATTATGTTTATTACAAGTTTAATTTCATACTTAAGAATTGTAATGAATAAAAATAATAATACCATTTTTCTCGTTCTCGCAGAGTAGTGCGAAAGATTTAATAACAAAGCAGTGGCATCTTCCAACCCATCCTCAGAACAGCTTTTGGAAGTTAGCACTTGAATAGCTAACTGTAAATGTTCAGGAGAATCAGGTACAAATTCAGGTGATTCATCAGAATTCTCCACTCCACTTGAACAGGAATGTGTTACTGGTAGATCGCTTGAAATTAAAGATAACAGCCGCAGTAACTTATCTGTCAATTGGGAACTTCTCTTGATAACATTAAATGAGAGCATTGACACTAATTGCCCGAATGGTGAAGTTTCAAAGTTTCTGCTGGTATTTACAGATTCAGTAAAATCTTTAGGCATACGGAGAACACCTTTTCCTTTTCTAGAGGATGAACTAGAATCCAATCTAATGAGTATATCCCAGAAGTCATTGGAAGTTTTAGTAGAACCAGACTCTTGCGATTCTTTGTTTGGTATTTTTTCTTTACTTGGAGGTTTGAAATCATTTGGTAAGAAGTAGCCTGGGAAACTTTTTGCCAACGATATCAATAACTCTAAAGTATGTTTGCAGACCACAGATGCAGCCTGGGGATGAATTGCTATGGGTGATGAAGATTTATTCCTTCGAGTGATGAGTCGCTTCATTAAAAATACATTTGCCCTGCAACCCAAAGCTGCATCCAGACTAATATTCAACCATTGCGGTCGTTCCACAGAATTTATGGACCTAACCGGAAATGGATCATTACTTTCGTTACTCTTTTCTATAATTGACAGCAATGATTTGATAACCCATTCTCTGGTTGGAACATGTGAGCATAGGTTGCGTATAACACGATGTAATCTTAAAGTATTAAATTTAGGTTCATCTATAAATAAAAGAACCAGTAAGCATGTTAAGGACTCATGATCTAGAAGTGGTCTTCCAGTCCTTTCTATATTCATATTAACAGATAGAGCTGTTGAGGAATGAGAAGTATTTCCGTCTGGACGATTCCATGCCAACCATGTGGTTCCTTGCCGTTCATGAGGGTTGTTCATTTGATTACCCATGATACCTGAGTGAATCACACATATGAAGTCATAAAATTCATAGATATATTTAAATATCAAACATATGAAACAAATCTAATGCAAACATATATAAATACAAACCTCTGCTGCGAAGTATTGAGGAAAGTGTAGTAGTCGAATGCCCAATTTGATTAAGAAATCTTTCTTGCATCAATTGTCTATTTCGACTTTCCCAATCCCTTCGTAAATTTTGTGCTTCTGCTGCCAATTCAGGTGGAAGTACAGATATTTGTGACTCCTCCATGTCAGTCAAAATCTTTAAAAATTACAATAACAAAGTTTTACTTTTATTAAAGAATCATGTGATAATGTTTAAACTGTTTTGTTTTTCAATGACATTTATTTATATAATGACATTACAATAAGTCTCAATTGTTTTTACTCATCTCAGATTCACTGACTGCCCAGCAACATTGTCTATTAATTAAGTAGAAACCATGGAAACATTTATTAAGAAAAAAATGCAATGGCATATAAGTTAAGAATATACTAAGATACTAATTTTCAAGAAGACAATTCATAATTAAATCGTTTCGTCCTCTTTGCGGCATCAGCACATAACGCGCAAACACAAAGAGAACAAATCACACATTGTAACCAAGTTTCGCAGGACTCAGAACGGGAAAAGAGTTTGCAACAAATTAAGATGATCATTCGTTCTAGTTTGGCCAGGATTCTTAGATCTTAAACAAGCAACAGTAAGAACTACAATTATATACTTACAGCCTGTCTAAGCGAAGGTTGCAGATTTTGGAAGAAAGCAGCAGCATCTACAGGATCATTAGGATTTGCTGTAGCTGCAGCTTGCCTTTGCTGCTCTATCCTTTGCTGTGCTAAAACTTCTTCTTGTATAGCTGGTGGCAGAGCTGCTAAAAATTCTGGATTTACTTCAGCCAAACCCACAGGGCTGGTTTCTGTGGTCATTGTTTGAGCTCGTACGCGAATTCTTTGTAATCTGTATATTATTATGCACATTTCCGATTATTGCAAGAATTATGTAAAAAAAAATATATAATTGCTTATGCGTTGAAAACAAATTTATATGAACTTGTAACAACAAAATATGTCTTTGCAACATATGAAGTAGAATTTTTACTTTTGATTTCTGGAAAATTAATTTAATTAAATATTAATATTGAAGTTACACAAATATATTCCATAATTATAGATTAAAATATATTCCATTATTGATTATATGATATACTATTTTTTTTATTACTTTTTTATGTAGGATTTATAGTTTTTATACAATTGTGAGTTATATTTTTATAATCATTCCCACTTACCTCATTTGCTCAGCTAATACTTCAGCTCTCATTTCATCTGGCAATGCTGCCAAAAATGAAGGATCTACCCAATCAGGAATGTCAGAAGAATTAGTGTTTCCCGGAGCATCTCCTCCTGGACCGATAGGACCCGTAACAGGAGCAGAAGCGGTCTCAGTAGTGCTATTTGCATTACTTCTAGGTCTACTAGGACCAGCCCCTTCATCTAACATGGCCCAATTGTTGGAAGCTACAGAAATTAGATTACCTGGAGCATCACCTTGTCTACTTGGAGAACCGGTAATACCAATTATGAAGTCCAATGGATCTGGCACGACAGAATTTATAAAGGTTGTTTGTGAATTACTGTTTGATACAGATGTGTTTGTCGTAGTACTTGAAGGAGTCAAGGAATTTACACTGGCAGCGACGCTAACTGGAATATTGGGCCTTGAAACTGGAACTGTTGAAGGAGGAGTCAATATTGAATTGATATATTCAGATCTCCTAACTGCTTCAGCATCCTCTCTAGCCAATCCTGCATTATCACGAAA